GATAATAATGGGGCTTGTCTCTATTTCGGTGGGTAGAGATAGTATAAATTGCTGATTTCTTTCTTTTTTTTAAAATAAATAGCTTATATCAAATGCGAGAGAAGAGAGTATACCACTTGTCACTCCGGTTCACTCCGGAGTGAACCGGAATGAAAGTTCACTCCGCGGAGTGGCGGAATACGGAGTACGGTGTTTCCCCCTTGCGATGTGTACAGATGATCTTTATCCTTTAGATGTGTACCGAATGTTTCACCGGAAGGCATCTGATCATTTGGAAATGGAATAGAACCATTACCATAACGTAATATAGGCTCAAGTTTATCAGCCGATGTTCCATAGTAGGATGTGGCCCATCTTTGAAAAATTTTTTTACTTTTCGATAATGCACTGTCTATATGCAGGCTAAAACGTACCCACCCAACAGGTACAGTATATTCATATCCACCTTTAGACTTTATTTTAGTACGACTAGGAGGATAGCATCTGGTGCAGTAGCACTCATCGTGTGACCGTGTAAAATACTGCGGTGATAACCCTAAACTTTCAAGAAATTCTTTGCAAATAGAACGAGGACAAGTACTGGGTGCGACTAGAAGAGTATGTCGGGTTGTAGATCTAGGGTTGGTAATATGCACTCCTGTTGTTTTGACTGTAACATACGGTTCTGTCTCGACTCGAGTAAGACCCGGTCCATCTCTCCTTTCATAGCTCGGACGGTCGCCCATATATGATCTGTGCGGATCACCATAAGGACCAACAAATGATCTGCTTCGTGCAGGAGGTGCCGGTCGTCGAGGTATATAGTCCGGAACTCGCATTGCATCATCATATGACGGCGGGGGCAGTACAATAGCGGGCGAAACGCGTCTCGCTAAAATAGATTATTAAAAAGAAAGAAAGGTTTTGGTCTACTTAACATCAGTTTAGTGAGTTTAGATTCGCTGCTTTGCATTGAATGTGAACTAATACTGAACTGAGTTGCTTTATTTGTTCGGACAGACTGATCGAAGCCTTTTTAATTGGTTAATCAATGTTAGTTTAACAATCGGCCATGTAATCTAAAAACGCGTCTTACCAGGGGGTGAAGCTGGCGGTGGTGAAGCTGGCGGTGGCGAAGCTGGCGGTGGTGAAGCTGGCGGTGGCGAAGCTGGCGGTGGTGTAGCTCGTTTTGGTGGAGGTACATAGGTAATATAGGCATGTAATTCGATCCCAAAACATACACAGGAAAATATCATAAGTATTATAGCAAACGTGCAACCGATACCTAAACCGGTTTTCATGTCTTCCATATCTAATAAAAAATATCGGATTAGGAAAGGCTAGCGTACTACGTTTGAGTTCCAGTTAGATTCCGAGTCTCACCAGATACTCTCACTCTTGCCAAACTAGTGCTATTGACCACATTGTTTGTTATTGTCGTGGATCTTATCGTTGTTGCCATGTCAAAAACTTCGCTGATTAAGAAACTTTTCCAGCAGTTCTTTAAGGCAGTTTTTGTTGTTTAAGCTCAACTGACAGTTATCAGATGTAAACAATGTATTTTTTATCTCGATTAACTATATAACGCTTAGTCATTACATAGTCTTTCTGCCTTGTCTTAGGGAACGAAAAAAAAGTTTTAATCCTGTGCTTTTTGTTTTTTCTATGCACTTGAAGTATTAACAAAAGAAATCTTTTCTTCACCCTTTATTACATAAAAAAATTCATTTTGTAACTATAACAATATTATACACTACTTGGTTTATTCCAATGTATTTTCAGAGCAAGGAAGTGAATTTATTTAATGCAGTTCTGTCTTCATTAGCGTGAGTCATTTTTGTTCAAAATGTTATGTCCACTTTGTAATCAGTATAACGGAACCCACTTGCCTGGAGATTTCTACGTATGTAAATACTGCGGCTATACGCTTCTAACAGACTCATTTCGAACACCTCCATTTTCGCGGTTCAAATCTACTGAACCAAACCCATTTTGCAGTGCAATCGATCTTTATCGTCGCAGCACTGCGACAAAACGGGAGAGACTCGATTACACAACATATAGACACAGTCGAGCTCTGATTACACCTCGTCTTGATATACCATCTTTCACTGCCACCCCCACTTATAAAGCTAGTGAGGCATATGAAACTTTATTGTCGTCTCGAAAAGAACGCACTTTCGTTGAACGTGGCAGAGATCATAGTGCACGACCCTCATTTCGTTCGCATTCAGCAGCTAGAGGTGCTCGTTCTACTTCTACATCCAGATCCTGTCAATATAAAATTCATTGTTTGGAATACCTCAATACTTTGAAATGGTCAAGCGGTTATTTTAATATCCGTTTTAATCGTTGTTATTGCTCAAAATGTTATTCTTCGAATGCACCTGATTCTCTCACGACTGCCGGTTCCACTTATGTTATACCACGCGGCTGGATGCGCTTTGGTTTGTATGTAGATTCTGTTCGAGCACAAGTAGAGAATATATGGAATAAATGGATTGTTACATATCATGGTACAAGTGAATCGGCTGCAAAATCAATTGTTGCGCATCGACACTTTCTTCTGCCTGGCGACACGTGTGACGACGGAACTGTAATTCGAATCCGTTCAGGACATATTCCCGGAATGAAACAAGTGTATACATCACCGACCATCAAATATTCAAGTCTAGATTGTTACTGTTCGAGTAACTTTTTCAAGGCGTCAGATGGCACGCGCTATAAAGCTAAGATTGTATTACAATGTAGACAACAACCGGGGACGTATAAGACTCAGCCTGAAACTGTATGTGCTGGTACCCGAAAATTGTGTGACATTATCCCAAATGACAGAATTGAAATCCTGACAGAAGCTAGGGCTGCAGTTGTGCCGTACGGTTTATTAATACAGCTTACACAAAACTAGAGCAAAGTGACGTATATGTTTAAATTCTTGCTCTCCTATGTTTTTACAAAAGTAAAACAATCTGAACACTTAAAGCATACTGACATAATTAGGCATCCCAGGTCCACTGTCACGCATAATTCGCGGCGCGACCGCTATGATATCACGCATGTCGCGGCCCGATCGCGATGAAATCTTATATTCGTGCCGCAATCGCTATAATGCCGCGAAGACATATCCGATATTCTGAAGTAGGTTAGATGGATTTTGACTCAGTCATGAACTTTTTAAGTTTCGATGAAAATAATGAAAAATGGGTTATTTCACTTGGTATAGATTTTCACTCGGTTCTTGCAGTTTGTTCTGAAAACTAACATTGCCGCGAGATTCAGCATAGTCGATAATCTATGATTTCATTGATTTCTGACAGTCCCAAACCTAACGGGAGCGGATTGCTAGGGCTTCAGGAAAAATGTCCATAGCTCCCCAACCCCAGATTTCTAAGAGTCTGTCAGGTACAGTTTTCAAGAGAACACTTCGAACTATATATATACGTAAAAAATGCCATAGATCTCTACGCCAAAGTTCAGACAACTGACCTAGTTTTCCACAGATCTTCTGAAGAACCGGTCTTTGAAACTTTTTTCAAATTCGTTTTTGCTTATGAAAACATAGCTCCGAACTTGTCTAGCGAATGCTGAAAACCGTAAGTCTCTATCGTTTATTCCTTTTGAGTGGTTTAAGTTTTTGTGCTGTAAGAAAAATCGTGGAAAGGAAGCGGTGTTGTAGAAATTTTTCAATTCAGTTTCTGACGCTAATCTTGAATATGGGTTTGGTTTCGCTTTAAAAAATTTTGTAAAAACCAAAAAATGCAAAATACTGTTCTTAAAATTTAATGGTTTCTACGTGATACTACTGTCTATAAATCCAAAGATAAAAATGAATTTTCATCATAAAGAAAGAGAGATGGATTGTGCGGTGGGTTTTTTTCTACAATAGGCAGTTGTTCATAATAAAAATTGTCTCTTCAAAGATAACTTTTTGAAAGTAAAGTAAAGTGTTACATGCAGTCAGTTTATGTATTTTCTGTCGAAGATTTACTAATAAATTTTCAGCTATTGGCCACATTGTTTGTTATTGTCGTGGATCTTATCGTTGTTGCCATGGCAAAAACTTCGCTGATTAAGAAACTTTTCGAATGTTGAGGATTGTTTTAATGGTGTTCTGGTAGCTGCGATCCTCGACACATCTACCGTGAATCGTTTTTTTGTTGTTTCTTTAGACAATCGATCGCTCTGTGTTCTTTTTCTTTGCAATAAAAACATAATCCTAAACGTCTACATTCATCTTTCGATATATCTCGACCTAGAACATTATTTATTGTTGAATCATTTGTCGTTTCATATGCTGTTTGTCGAAATGTTGCTGAATTTTGGAATAATCGTCTATTTGCTACTGACGTTGTTGAAAAATATGCTGTATCATACGTAATAGCAATGGTAATTGCTTCAGCTAGCGTTGCTGGAGCCTTGTAACTCACTTCAGCTTTGGTCCGCCCTCTCAAACCATCGATGAAGTATGTAACTTTATCAGCTTCCACCATAGCATCAATCTGACCGAGAATATTACGAAATTCATATATATATATTGTTGTGCAGTTGTTGTTTGTTTCAGTATCCGGAGCTGTCTTCGAAGTGGTTGTTGATGATGTGGGGGCTCAAATGCTAGTCGAATACGCTGTTTGAATTCCAAAAAGCTCAATATCGGTTGTTTGATGCAATCATCTATTTCTTTTCGCTCATTATGATACCATTGCAGAGCAGCATCTCGTAATAATGTGGACGCATAATAGAGCTGATCGTCACCGACCATTTTTTTTTGCATGATACAGTTCTTCAACCTGGAATAGCCAAGTAACTACGTTTTCACCTTCTTTTCCATAATACAATGGCGGTGGGATATTAAATGAATTATTTCCTGAAGACGGTGTAGCTCTATTTGTTTCATTTTGACTGATTGGTTGGTTCCTGTTTTGTTTTTGTTCCTCC